TCAGATTCTGTGTCTCCCTCTCTCTCTGCTCCTCCCCTATTCATGCTCTGTCTCTCTCTGTCTCAAAAATCAATAAATGTTAAAAAAAAAAAATTAGAAAGAAAGTCAGCGAGGGCTTTTCAGTTCATCCTCACTCGAGTATATTCAAAATTAAGATGAATTACTGCATTAAGATGAATTAAGCCCCAGGGTATATACCTCTTTCCTTGTGTGTTTTCTTTCTTTTGTGTTTTAGTTCTAGGAGGCTGAAAACCTTTATGGCTCAGGCATCTGTGTTACGTAGAAAGAATGCTACTGTAATGTTCTGTGCTGTTAACCAAGTATCTAGTTCCTATATTCTTTTTTTTTTTTTTTAATCTTTCTGAAAACTCTCCTGGTAGACAGTAGGATAACCTGATACAAGTTATCTATATTTTAACAGAGAACAACACAGTAAGTAATACACATGGGGAGTTAGTGGATACGCTTTAAAAGGACTTCTCATCTGGGGAATCTGACAGTCTAGTTACATTGACTGAATTTTTCAGTACGCTGTTGGTGAAATTGTAAGCGTATTCTCATTTTTCTGTTATGTCTCAGGTGTTTGCGGACTGGCGCTTTGGAGAGTGCCTGCTTATCTGGCATGTCCATAACAGAACTGTGTGTTCCCTCTCTGATGTGCCGGGTAGCAGTTTCCCCCCTTTGGACAGTTCAGAACAGTGAGCTTTATCCTAGATTAATATCCATAGCTACATAGTGGTTCTAAATCCAGAATAAACCGAGAGTAGGGGAGAGAAGAAAAGGCTCTCTCATGAAGAAAGTGAAACTTTCTCAGTGTGTCTTGCCGGTTTTTAGAAATTGTCTGTTCTTCCTGCCTTTTTTCATATAAACTAGATTAAGGAAAAAGGTCATTGTTGTTTTTAAGTTTTATTTTTATTTAAGTAATCTCTACACCCAACATGGGACTCAACTCAGCAACCACGAGATCAAGAGTTGCAAGAGTGAGCCAGTCAGGCACCCCAAGGAAAAAGCTGTTTGTTGGTTTGTTTGTTTTTAATGTTTGTTTATTTTGAGAAAGCACGTGTGCACGTGCCCGAGCAAGAGGAGCAGGGAGAGAGAGAATCCCAAACAGGCTCTGTGCTGCGAGCACAGAGCCCAACTCGGGGCTTGAACTCAGGAACTGTGAGATCATCCCCTCAGCTGAAATCAAGAGTCGGATACTTACCCAATTGAGCTACCCACCCAGGTTCCCCGGAAAAAGGGTTTTTTTTAAATTTGTTTTGTTTGCTTATAAAAATCTGTACCCCAAATGACATAACTGGAATTAAGGGAAAAAACTTGGAAAGTTCCATTTTTTTCCTTATTCTTCCAGATTTATCTGCCTTTGAACGTTGAAAACAGTTTTATTGTTGTTTATCTTTGTGTTTTAATAATTCATGCTACTCCTCTTCTTAGCAACTCCATACTACTTAGAACCATTGTCTGAAATCACCTGTATCCCTTGCAGTGTTAGAACCAAAAATGAAGAGTAAGTTTCTTGATCAAGTGAGACTTACAAAGTTAGCAGATCAGCTTACAGGTTTTCTATTTATTGAATTTTAGCAAGCCATTGTTTGCTACCCTTTGGATTAGAAGCAAAAGAAAATGCTTTTTGATTGACAATATTTTCATTTAAAAGTTCAGCTGATCCCCAGTTGATGAGCATTGAAAAGAAAGGCATTGTCTTTGGATGTGTGGTGGCCATGCTTTCTCAAAGCTTTTAGTTTTTTTGTGATATTTGTGCTCACACACACTCTCCTAAATGATTTGAAAGTAAGTGGCAGACTTCATGACACCTCACCCCTAAATACCTCAGCATGTGCCTCCTGAGAATGAGAATATTATTCTACCTAAAACATTACTACTGTATCACACCCCAGAAAGTTGACATTATAAAGTAATAATAATCTAATGTACAGTCTTACTTTTCCAAGTTTTTCTAATTCTCCCAGAAATGTACTTTTACGATACTTTTGTCTCCCTAATCCAGGATCTGGCCAAAGATCACACATCACATTTGGTTGTGGTGTCTCTTTAGTCTCCTTTATTTATTTGTTTGTTTGTTTATTTACATCCAAATTAGTTAGCATATAGTGCAACAATGATTTCAGGAGTAGATTCCGTACCGCCACTTACCCATTTAGCCCATCCCCCCTCCTACAACCCCTCCACTAACCCTCTGTTTGTTCACCATATTTAAGAGTCTCTTTTGTCCCCCTCCCTGTTTTTATATTTTTGTTGCCTTTCCCTTATATTCATCTGTTTTGTCTCAAAGTCCTTATATGAGTGAAGTCATATGATACTCGTCTTTCTCTGACTGATTTCACTTAGCATAATACCCTCCAGTTCCATCCGCATAGTTGCAAATGGCAAGATTTCATTTTTGATTGCCGAGTAATACTCCATTGTATAGATATACCACATCTTCTTTATCCATTCATCTATTGATGGACATTTGGGCTCTTTCCATACTTTGGCTGTTGTTGATAGTGCTACTATAAACACTGGGGTACATATGTCCCTTCGAAACAGGTCTTTAGTCTCCTTTAAACCAGAGCAGGACCTCTGTCTTTTTTGGGTGGGGATCTTTCATAACATTAACATTTTAAGGAGTCTGGGCCAGTTGTCTCCTACAATATTCCACAACAAATTTTGTCTTGTCTTCTTGATTAGTTTCAGGTTAAATACTTTTGGTAGGATTACTATATGTATACTTGCCATTCTACCACATCAGGAGGCACAGTGATATCAGTTTGTGTTACTTTTGGTAGTACACAGTTCGATCTTGATGCAGACCACTTGTGCTAAGGAATAGCTGTCAGATCACTTCATTGGAAAGCCCTTTTCCTCTATTAAGTAATCTAGATTCATGCTTTGAGACTTTGTGACTGTCCTACTCCTTTAGAACCTTCCACCTGGTTATTGTAATTTGTTCATTGATTTAATTCAGAGTTTTGCCAGGGGTCTACTGATGGACGTCTACTGATGAAGCCCAGGAAATTTTTTTGGGTACATATATTTTTCCAGGAATATGATTCATGACTTGCAAAATATTTTTAAAAATCTTTTGTCTCCCTCTCTTTTGGAGGTGGCTTCTACAAGTTCCTATGCATTAGAGAAGTCTGTTATAAGCAATAGGTTACTAGAAGCTGGGAACCAACAATGTTCATGTGATTTTCTTAATTATCTAACGTAGCATCACATACAGCTGGGCACTAAATTTCTGTTGTTTGTTTGAGAATGCTTTGTTCTGGGCTCTCCCTTATCCTGAGCCAAGCATTTGGATCTTTTGTGTTTGGTATAAAGTGTACTAGAAATAGAGCAAAGGAGCTTAGCCCCTGGTTTTTGGTGTTCTCTTTGAAGATTTTTGGGCACAGCCGAATTTGATTTGTGTCTTTGTTGACACTGAAGTATATTTGGGTCAATTGGAAATGAGTTAAAACACGGCAATATATTATTATTATGTATTGACTTTAGGGAGCTTTAGATCCATTATTAGCCTAATGCAGAATAGCTGTAGAAGTGGTTAATTCTTGACTTTCCCTGCTCAACCAGGAAAGCAGTATGGAATTAATCATGGTAGGAGCCACTCAGGTGTGTTTTGTTTCATCTATCGATTAGCCTGTTGGTAACACTGGCTTGCCTTGTATGAAAAAGTGTCTGTCATTTGGGTGACTGATAATAACAGTAAGTGCTAATGTTGGAAGGTATACTTCTAAAAATACATATCATACCATTTAATCCAGGTGATCACTCTGTGAAAGTTATTATTTTTATTCTAATTACACAGGTGAGGGGAAAGACGGAGAGAAGTGAAAGATAGCCGACATCAAACAGCTCGTGAGGAGCCCCAGATTCCTTGCTTTTTTTTGTTTTAGCACTCTGAAAGGTAGAGGCATTCTGTGGGTTCCAAATATGAACAAAGCATGGCCCTTGTTCTCAAGGACGTTTTAAATCAAACCAGTATGTCTTCTTATAAATATATTAATTATAGGCAGCACATCAAGGGAAGAGCTAGGGAAGCACACAGAAGTGCAGACAGCCTCCAAGTATAGAGTCAAGGTTGGTATGCCGGGGGAAGCATTTGAGAGGGAACATGTCTAGGGAGGAAGAAAAAGTGAGCGAAAGGACCAAGGTGGGAAAGCACAGGGCTTATTATGGCTGAGGGGCTGCTCTGGTTTGGCATGAGCTGCGTGAGATACGGTAAAAGAAAGTGGTGGAAGCTGGGCCTGTGACAGGTTAGGTCAGACTGTGAAGGGCCTCAGAATGCCATGCTAGGGAAGAGAGAGCCTCCTTCCATAGGTATTTTGAGCAGGAAATGAAAAGTGTAGGGTAGCCCTGTAGAGAACCCAGTAATAAGCATGATAAATGCTTACATTTTTAAGTTAAGATCCTGTGCTAATCTCTTCACATGATACACACAGAATCTCACTAACGCCTGCAGTAACTGAACAAAGTACTCTGTCCCTTTTACAGATGTGAAATCGAGGCTCCGCGAGATTAGGCTTGCAGGTGTCAAACATATCGCTGGAGCTAAGACTTGGACTGGGGTCTGTGAGCTTCTAAAACCTGTTCTGTTTGCCACTGTGATATATTGTTTTTTAAAAACAGGTCACCTGATACGTTCTTGATCCTCTGTTAAGAATATGGCTGTGGGAAAAAGACATTTTCAAAGTTCCGGAAGTACTGCTTTTCAGTGTGTAATCATGCTAAGGAATGTAATCACCACCAAACCCGACTTGTACTGCTCTCTAATTGGGGCCAGCGCTGCATAGGAAGCTGAAGAACTGGATGATGTTTTATTTACATGCCTCATGACATGAATACATGCCTGCGGCAAATGTTTTTGTGTTCATTTTCACCGTTTAACCTTATTGGCCCCACGTAAATCTTACATCAGGGAGAGCCCAGTTCGTAGGGGCATTTTCAGGTGCTTAAAGCAGTGATATTTTTCCTAGCTAAAATACATTTCTTCTCAGCAGGTTTTCTACTAACAAAAGACCATGACTACTGATGAAGGTGCCAAGAACAATGGAGAAAACCCAGCAGCAGCTGTGGCTGAACGCGGAGAGGATATTACCTCTAAAAAAGATAGAGGAGTATTAAAGGTGAGGTTACAAGGTTGAATGACATGTAGGGAAATTTCCTACCTGGAAGGATTATTTATAAAGATGTTTGTGTTTTTGGTCGGAGGTGGAGGTGGATGTTGTTCACTGAGGCTTACTAAGTGCTAAACTCTCATTTCGTCTTCATGACTTGAGGTTTATTTTTTTAATTAAAAAATTTTTAAAGGTTTATTTTTGAGAGAGAGAGAGAGAGCACAAGCTGTGGAGAGGCAGAGAGAGAAAGGGACAGAAGATCTGAAGCAGGATCCACCCTGTCAGCGCAGAGCCCGATGGTGGGGCTGGAACCCACAAACTGCAAAATCATGACCGGAGCCGAGTGAGCACCCAGGCACCCCGAGGTTTATTTTTATTCCCAGAGAGATGGTGAAATTGAGGCCCTGGTGGGTGAATTAACCTGCCCAGTATCCTAGATCATAGGAAATACAGATCTGGGGGCCAGATCCAAATGACGTAGGACTTAGAGTCCCCCAGTTCTCAGCGTGTATGCATGGGTGGTTATTTTAACGTAATATTTAAGGACGTGAAAGCTAGCTAATGACAATCCAGAAGACTTACTAAAGGAAAAAGAAAAGCCAACTTGCAGGGTTCAAAAGGATTGTTTTTACATACAGATTCTTGTTTGTGCAGTGAAGATATTTTGTGAGGTTTCATCCTAGAATATATCTTACTTCAGAATTAGCTTTCCTCATTAAAACACTACAGGGGACCTGGGTGGCTCAGTCGGTTGAGTGTCCAACTCTTGGTTTCAGCTCAGGTCGTAATCCCAGGGTCATGGGATTGAGGCCTGTTTTGGGCTCATGCTAAGTGTGGAGCCTGCTTTATCCTCTTTCTCTCCCTCTGCCCCTCTGCCCTGCTCGCACTCTCTCCCTCTCTAAAATTAAAAATTAAAAGTAAAAACTGTGTATGGTTTTCACTGTGTAATTAGTCATTTCTATGTATAGTGTTTTTTTTTTTTAATGTTTGTTTATTTTTGAGAGAGACAGAGACAGAGACAGAGCACAAGCAGGGGGGAGGGCAGAGAGCGAGGGAGACACAGAATCCGAAGCAGGCTCCAGGCTCTGAGCTGTCAGCACAGAGCCCGACGCAGGGCTCGAACCCACAAACCGTGAGATCGTGGCCTGAGCTGAAGTCGGACACTCAACCGACTGAGCCACCCAGGTGCCCCTGTGTCTTTTTGTCTTTTTTTTATTTGTATCTCACAGTGGTCTTGTGAGACGACCAGAGCACCTGTTAATCCTTCCATTTTATTGATGGAAAATGTATATTTGAATTCCATATAAATTAATAAACTGCAGCTGAGAGAAGGTTAAATGCTTTAGTTGTATTAAGTCATGCCTTCTCCTACATTGTTGTTACATGGACAAGTTTTGTATAGTTAATTATTTTTCCCTGAAAATATGATCTCCCACATTCTAAGTATTATCACTAAGTGAGTTTTAGTATCTCCATGTGTCAGCAGTAGTAAATGAGAATTTTTTAGTTTGTTTTGTCTGATCTTGCTTGTGTGAAAGCTTTTTTTTCTGTGCCTGAATCTTCCGAATGTAGTTGTTTTACCGTTAGCTTGCTACATGCTAAGCCAAATTTTGGAAGACTTTCAACTACAGAAATAAGGGCTTTATGCCATAGATTTGTATCATGCTCTCATTTTTCAGAGGGCTTCTCAGTCTATAACTATATGAATTCCTTACCCCAAACTCCAGGATACTTCTAGAGACAGTAGAAATTGTGCAGGCAGTCTGCAGCATCTCCTCGCTCTATTTAAGTCTTTCTCTTTCATGTTTTCAGTGTGCCCACCCATGCAGAGAACATGTTCCTCAACCTGCCTCCAGCCCTGTTTTCTTCCAGGGAGTAAATCTGATAAGATTTTTAGGCTTGTAAGACGCATTTTGAGATTGTAAGCCCTTTAAATCATATCACTTATCACTGTCTAGAGCCTTAGGTTTCACCATGGGGCTTTTGGTTAAGATTAAATAGTCTACTAACTGTGCGACATGGGGCGATGTAGTTAACCTCTCTTTGATGAAATTTCCTCATTGTAAAATTGGAACAATACTACTACCTCCCTCATAGAGTTACTGGGATTATATAAAGCATTTAGCACCGTGCCTCATCTGTAGTAACCTCGTTTATTCCCTATTACATACATAACTTTTTAAAAGACCAAGGCACGTCTGGGAAGTCAGTGACTAGCTCAGGAAAATAAAATTACACTGTGGAGCTTACATTTTTAAAATGAATCGAGACTAAAATTCATTCCTTAATGCAACTGCTTAAGGCACCTCCTCACATCTTCCCATTTCCTCCTACCCAGAGCCCCTAGCAACTAACATTCTATTCTCTGTTATGAGTTCAGCTTTTTTAGATGTCACATATAAGTGAGATCACACAGTGTCTGTCTTTCTCTGTCACTTAGCATAATGCTCCTAAGATCCATCCATGTTGTCACAAATGGCAAGATTGTGTTCTTTATTGTGGCTGAATTAACATTCCACTGTGTGTATATGTGCCACATTTCTCTTGATCCATTCATTTGTGTATGGATCCTTAGATTGTTTCCAGGGTTTAGCTGTTGTAAATATTGCTGCCCTGAACATGGGGTGCATAGATCTCTTTGAGCTAGCGTTCTCGTTTTCTTCAGATAAATACCCAGAAGTAGAATTGCTGGATCGTATCGTAATTCTATTTTTAATTTATTGAGGAAACTTCACACTATTTTCTACAGTGGCAGCACCCATTTACATTCCTGCCACCAGTGCACGAAGGTTCCCTTTTCTCCATATCCTCACCAGCACTTGTTTTTTCTTCTCTTTCTCATCATAGCCATTCTAAAAGGTGAGGTAAAGTCTCGTGGGTTTGATTTGCATTTTGGGGATTGTTTTGTTTTTCCATTACTTCCTTCTTAACAAGTGTATAGAAACACAGCTGATTTCTGTGTGTTGATTTTGAATCCTCCCACGTCACTGAATTCATTGATTAGTTCTAACAGGTTTTTAGTGGAGTTGCAGTAATGATTCTCATCTTTATTTTTTTATTTTTTTTATTTTTTGAGAGAGAGTGGATGAGGGAGGAGAGGGAGAGAGAGAATCTCAAGCAGGTTCCATGTTCAGTGCGGAACCCAACATTGGGCTCAATCTCATGACCCTGAGATCATGGCCTGAGCCAAACAAAGTCAAGAGTCCTACACTTAGCCAACTGAGCCACCCAGGCTCCTCCAATTCTTTTCCTTTAAACAATGTCTGGACCTTTGAACTAAGAAAGTTGTAGAATAGAAGTTTACCGTGTTTACATGGTGATAAGAGGGCAGGGCTGGTAGGACACAACTTAAAGAACTTAGGAGCAAATGATTGAATTCTTTATATAAAGTTTCAGACTCTTCCCCTAATACGATGTTTCTTGGGCATGAGCTACCATCCTCTGTTACCTAATAAAGATGATTAATTTGGCATAGGTGATTGACACAATAAATTATACCACCACACGCCTGGATTTGATTTTCTTTTCCCAGAACTGACCAACTGCATTAGTGGCCTACTCTGCCAAGAACAAAATAAGTATACTGGATTTTATGACAGCTAAATATTTTTCAGCCTGGAGCTTTTTTTTTTTTGGCATTTGCTTTACTAGAAAACAAGTTTTTCAGTATCATATCAAACTATGCAGTGATGCTGGGTTTTTTGCACATTGAATATTCTTCATATAAAAGGAAATGGAACCTGTTATACTAGGAAGTTGAGCTTTTTGAAAGTAAACCAAACTAGTGGAATTTAGTCAAAAGGTAATGTTTTTAGCAAAAGAGGGAAGTAAATAAAATCTCACCTTTTGAAACTTGCTTTAGACTTCTTTTTGAAGATTTTTGAAAGTCCACTCATCTTTTTGTTCTGATTCAGTTTATATGTGAACTGGTTCTATGTTTTGAGAGATTTTGTTCTGATTCAGTTTATATGTGAACTGGTTCTATGTTTTGAGAGATTTTAGTGTCAAAGCATGAAGCAGGATCTATTGGTTATATTATTACCTTATTTTGTTTGAGGGGATAGTGTGCTTGACAGTGAAATTAAATATAGCATTAAAGATTTAGAGTAGTATAGGAAGGTTTCCTAACAGTTAGCATTATTGAGAGAACTGGGAGGGAAGCCTTGAGAAAGGACAGGTAATTATTTGCAAATCTGCCTGGGTAATGTATAATGGATTCTGTGACCTTTTTTATTTGATTAGAATAAAATCAGCTCCTTTTTTTGATGTTTGTCTTTTCCAGATTGTCAAAAGAGTGGGAAATAGTGAGGAAATGCCAATGATTGGAGACAAAGTTTATGTCCATTACAAAGGAAAATTGTCAAATGGGAAGAAATTTGATTCCAGTCATGATAGAAACGAACCGTTTGTCTTTAGTCTTGGCAAAGGTAAGAGGGTGTTTTTTGAGTTGTGTTTTGCTTAGACTTATTGCTATTTATATTATATAGAAGCTGGTCGATCCTGTATAGGAGCTAGTAGATTTTTAGGGGGTCTATAATGTTAAAGTTATTTTCATAATGTTATTAAGATGTTGTCCAGCTTTTTACCGTGTTGACATTCGCACTGATGGTACAAAAGCTACAGTGGTAAAAACTGCTGCTGCCGTTAGCACAGATCTGGGCTACGGCACCAAACTATATGAGTAATCCGATATTCTTCGATGCCCTCATTCACTGTTTAAATAAGAAAAAGAAGGGAAGCCCATGTCACTTAATGTCCTTGATAACAGTGTAAAAAATACCAATTGTATTAAATCCTAATCCTTGGCTTTGGCATTGTTCTGCTGTTTTGTGACAGACAGGGAGGCGCACAGGGCACACTTCTGTACCCGAGGACAGTGGTTGTCTCCTGGGAAAGCACTCGTGCACTTAACCTGAGTGAAGAACTGAATGAGGTGCATTTTTCCAGAAAACACCATCTTTATTAGAAAGGGCAAACTGGGGGCGCCTGGGTGGCTCGGTCGGTTAAGCGTCTGACTTCGGCTCAGGTCATGATCTCACAGTCCGTGAGTTCGAGCTCCGCGTCGGGCTCTGTGCTGACAGCTCAGAGCCTGGAGCCTGCTTCAGATTCTGTGTCTCCCTCTCTCTGTGACCCTCCCCCGTTCATGCTCTGTCTCTCTCTGTATCAAAAATAAATAAACGTTAAAAAAAAAAAAAGAAAGAAAGAAAAAGAAAAAAAAGGGCAAACCGTTATTGTTTGGATTTGATTATTCAGTATTTGGCAGATAACTTTCTTAAAAATGACTGAAGCGAACCTGTCACTTCAAGGAAAACAGCTGAGAGTATTTGTAACCATTGAGTTTTCAAATGAAAATTCTAGTTCTGGGAAATTTGTATCTGCCACGGTGAGCTTGACAGCTTCCCAGAACTTAAAAGACTTCTGATGAGATCGATGGATGTTCAGGAATGTGGTTTTTAAAATATCATCCAGTGAAATGTGTTAACGTGTGGAAGATCTGTGTAACTCAGTGAACCAATATTTACCCAATACAAGATGTTACAAAATCATGTGTGACTAAAAAGATCCATTCGTTTTGCAGGCTAGATCAATGGATTTTAATGTAACATAATATTAACGAAAAGTTCCTTGATCTGCTTTCAGATTCTACATTGCAACTAACTTTTTTTTTTTTTTTTTTTCAACGTTTATTTTTGGGACAGAGAGAGACAGAGCATGAACGGGGGAGGGGCAGAGAGAGAGGGAGACACAGAATCAGAAACAGGCTCCAGGCTCTGAGCCATCAGCCCAGAGCCTGACACGGGGCTCGAACTCACGGACCGCGAGATCGTGACCTGGCTGAAGTCGGACGCTTAACTGACTGCACCACCCAGGCGCCCCTGCAACTAACTTTTATGAAACTGCCACTTGTCCAGCTTGCATGTCCTCTCAGATGATCATATTCATAATTATCTGAAAAGGCCGTTAAAGTACTCCTACCTTTTCCACCTATCTATCTTTTGGGTTTGGATTTTTTCTGTAGATTTAAACTCAGATTGCAACAGATGAATGCAGAAGTAGGTATGAGAATTTGGTTGTCTTCTGTCAAGTCAGACACGTTTTACACTTGTTAAACTGCAAAACAATGCTGTTCTCACTAATTTTTTACAAATATAGTTGCTTTTCATAAAATTTTTTTTTTGTTTTGGGGTGCCTGGGTGGCGCAGTCGGTTAAGCGTCCGACTTCAGCCAGGTCACGATCTCGCGGTCCGGGAGTTCGAGCCCCGCGTCAGGCTCTGAGCTGATGGCTCGGAGCCTGGAGCCTGTTTCCGATTCTGTGTCTCCCTCTCTCTCTGCCCCTCCCCCGTTCATGCTCTGTCTCTCTCTGTCCCAAAAATAAATAAAAAACGTTGAAAAAAAAATTTTTTTTTAAAAATAAAAAAAAATAAAAAATTTTTTTTGTGTTAACATATATGAGGCTGTTACTATTTTTCAATAGTAAATGTACTATTTTTGAATTGGTAAGTAACTAATTTTTAATGTGGTAGATATCAGTAGATAGATAAACAAGTTCTTTGGGGTCTTCAATTTTTAAGATTAAAGGGGTCCTGAGGAAAAAGGTTGAGAAGCACTATTTTCAGGTCTTAAGTGTTATTTTTACTAATTCATTTTCAAATGCTTTTGCGTGTCTTTAGTTAATTTAGTACTTTCTTTAATCTTGTGAGAATAATAGCCCATACATCAAACTAGACTTTGCAGACCATGTGGCTTATTGAAAGTTAGTGGCTGAGTTACCAATGTTTTTAATTCTTATCTGCTACAGATAGAACAGATCTCTAGTTCATTCCCAGATTAAGTGTGGGAGAAAAGGATTGGACCCCCCCCCCCCCCCCCCCCCCCCCCGCACTGGTCTACCACCATGGCTCAGTGTTGACTATAACCCCTTTCATTTTTTACTGTACCACCTGAAATGAATTGTTAACCAGGCATGGTCTGGGAAAGAAAAGAGCCAGTGAGGAACTGCAGACTTAAACTCTTTCTGCCTCTCTTGTACCCTGCCTTTCCTGGTACTCACAGGCCTGTGTCCTGGTGACTCCTGCTTCTTGTCCGGCTGTACCCTTCTCGGGCTCTGGTGCAGCCTGTGCGCCACTGCTCCCTTCTCCTTTGGGTCTTCAGTGAGTTGGTGGCTCATGTGAGATTAATCTTGTGTTTCAGTACGATGGCAATCAAATACAGATTCTTTTTGTCGAGAAAGCGGATAATGATTGACAGTTAAATTAGAATTTTTTTTCTTTTTTGTTGATTCAGAGATGTGAACCTCCAGGGCCACCAGCATGGCTGTGGCATCAGCATTTAATTTAGACGACCTCAGAGTAAATGGCCTCATCAGACATCTGTGTTTCCACTGCTCCCCCTGCCCCCTTCAAACTCTTACTCTACCCTTTGAATTTCTGTCCTAAAGAAGTTGATGGATTTAAGCCAACAAGTCTCTTCAGCAGCTATCTTTGCAAGTAGACTTGCTAAGAATTGCTAAGAACTGGGGGAAAAAAAAAGAATTGCTAAGAACTTATGCTGCTATCTTTTCTACCTGCATTTTCTTAATAAACTACCCTATGCTGAATGAGTCTTTTATGTTTCCTAGAATTTTGAGCAGAGATAAAAGAGGCAGCTTTCAGTTGACTTGGTACCTATGACACACCTGTCTAGAGACAGTGTGGTCTCTTGGGGAGAGCATCCACCTGGCTGTTAGGAAGCCAGAGGTCCTATCTTCACTCTTCCCTGTGTTATGTTAACATAAGTAAGCCACCTAACCTTCCCTGCTCCTCTAAAAAGGAGGCATCTGTAGAAAAGCATTAAGATTAATTCTGGCTATGATTTCATTCTTGTACCTTCTGTAAAGAGTGCAGGAATGAAAACCATAAAAGACTAAGATAAAGCAAGAAACTTTGGTAGGCAGTTTATAATTTTTTGTGGGTTTTTTTTTAAATGTTTATTTTTGAAAGAGAGTGCGCACAGGGGAGGGGCAGAGAGAGAGAGGGAGACACAGAATCTGAAGCAGGCTTCAGGCTCAGGGCTGTCAGCACAGAGCCTGATGAAGGGCTTGAACCCACAAACTGTGAGATCATGATCTGAGCCAAAATCGGATGCTTAACCAACTGAGCCACCAAGATGCCCCTGCCTTGCCTTTTCATTTTAATTGGTCTTTAAAGGAACAATTTTAATTTTGATGAAGTCAAATTTTTTTTATGGCTTTCCTATTATGATTGACCATTTTTGTTTTCATTTGGTTTGGGTTTTTTGTTTACATATGAGGACACTACAGAGAGAAGAAGTAAGCCATTAGCCCATGGTTATACAATAAAGTGGTAGGGCCAGGATTCAAACACAAGCAATTTCTTTCAAGGTGTATGTATCTTAAGGTTTAAAACTAGCTTAAACTGGGTACAAAAACGAAATAGGTCCTCATCCAGCAGAATTTACTGAGTGCCTGCTGTACATCAGACAGACACTTTTCTTACAGGAATGCTGTAGTTACAGAGGTTTATCAAAAGCAAAGTTTCTGCGGGCACCTGGGTAGCTTAATCAGTTAAGTGTCTGACTCTTAGTTTCTGCTCAGGTCATGATGTCGTGGTTGATGGGTTTGAGCTCCGTGTTGGGCTCTGCGCTCACAGCGTGGAGACTGCTTGGGATCCTGTGTATCCCTCTCCCTTTGCCCCTCCCAGCTCGTGCTCTTTCTCTCCCTCCCTCCCTTCCTTTCTCTCTCTCTCTCTCTCTCTCTCTCTCTCTCTCTCAAAATAAATAAATAAAATTTTTTAAAAAGCAAAATTTTTGCTATTACCTGCTTGATGTTTATGGGTTGAATTCCTATTTTGAAAGTTTGTTGTTTTTTTTTAAATTGAAGTATGTTTTTTTCATGCACTTTAAGTCTTGACAACATCTTACAACTGGTAAAGCACTACTAGTAATGGGTAACCATGTAGCCAACTTCCTGTGGGTTGTTTGTGGTTTAACCATGCGCTCCCTTTAAATTTCTGTTGATGCTTTTGCTCCCACTTAAATATATCCTTAACATCTGGGTTTTTGTTTGTTTGTTTTACATGCAGTTTAGGAGTATTCAGGATTGCTTTTAGGCCAAAATATTTAATTTTTCTAACCTTCTCCAAAAGTGTGAGCCAGAAAGACAGCAAACTTTGAGAAAGTACGTTCTTTGGCTTTACCTGGTGCTTTGCAGTAGAGGAAGAATGCTTTTGATTTCCATTGCTCTGTTAATGGATACTGGGGAGAAGCCTGTTGGGGCAGGGTGAGACTAAACCGTGGGAAGCTAACAAATTTCTAACTCCATTTGTATAAAATTATAGCATGGACCCTGTTGTTTAATTGAGTATAATGTTATGGTATTATAGTTTATAATTCTTTAGGAAATAGAAAATAATCAAGACCCGACTCCTGC